ATGTGGGTATCTGATGTGAAAAGCTCACTGATAAACACATCAAGGAGTTCTTCTATTTTAATGTATCTGTATACATGCACAGTTAAATATAAGTAAGCAGGATTTCCTGACATAAAGATCAGATTTTGGATGATAAAGATTTCAAATCTTTAGTCTCTTTAGAGGCATGATGGTTAAAACAAAACAAAGCAAAACAAACAACTGCACAAAAACACAAATTAAGCAATACATAATTATAAACCTTTGTTTTTAGTAGACTTTGTATCCTAAATAGTGAATATAGTATGTACAGTATAGTAAAATACAATAAACTTTAAGTCTTCACAAATTAGAATATTTGACTTATTCCCAGAAATGCAAACCAAGCTCTTGCTATAGGCAACATGTAGACACTGCAGAGCCCATAGTAATGGGCCATATACTCCATTCTCCTGAAGGATCCTTCAGTGGACAAACCAAGAAGTTGATACCTTCGAAAAAGTGCACAAAATACATGTAGACTGGTTGAGCAAACTTGTTTCAAACCAAGACTTGAGTTTCGAGTTTTAATGTGCTTCTTTAGTTACTTCTTTGTTGACATGGAAGTATGCTTTGAGTCACTGTCATGATGGAAGTCCCAACCATGACCCATCCTCAGTGTTCTGGTTGAAGGAAGGAAGTCCTTGTCTAAGATTTTGCACTACATGGCCCCACCCATTGGCCACTTTTGAACAGTGTTGGGACTAACGCGTTATTAAGTAACGCGTTACAGTAACTACGTTATTATTGTGGCAACGAGCACGGTAACTAGTTATTATGCCAAAATCAGGAACGCGTTAGTCGTTACTGGGATTTAGATAGGGTCGTTACTTCGTGTGATGGCTATCGCGGAGCTTCCACAGATTCAGTAACATTAGCAAGTGGTGGAGGCCAGCAGGTGGATGAAGGAAAGGGGACACAGAAGGAGCAGAGACCTGAGGCGGCCGCCGGTCCAAGTGTGAACTGAACTTCAGGTAAGAAGTTATGACCTGCAGTCTATCTGGGTCAGATATAAACCAAGTTTAGGTGGAGTTTATTTTCGTTATTCTGACTTTTTCCGTACTGCGTACTAGCTAGTATGACGGAGTTTCTATACAGCTGGGTGGGTGCTATGAAGTTAATGATGTTGAACTTTATTTTGTTCATAAGTTATTAGAGTTGCCAACCGTCCTGTCTGGTATTCAGAGAAAATATTACGCATTTCGTATTGAGGTGAAAAGGAACAGTTTGTCCCGTAATTCAGCTACAATGAAAAAGGCACAAAGCTGGAGTTATTCTGTCTTTGCTGCACAGCTGCCTCTTCTTCTTTCATTCTCCCCCCTCCCTCTCCCGTTTCTACTTCAATCATGAAATTGATCAATGATCAGCTGATCGGCTCTCTTGTTTGTTTATCGCCCACTTTGCGCCAAAGGAGGAAACCAGCGTATGTCGCGCTAAACAACAGCAGCACGTTTAAGCTTGATCAGCTGTTGTTAGAATTTATTTAATATTAATTTCTAGTATCAGCTGATGTTTTCTGGAGCCACAGCTGCAAAAAAGCTGCTGGTCATGATATGGTTTGGTTATCTGGTGAGAGGGAAACATGAAGATGAAACCAGGAGATGTCCTTACTGAATCATCAGAGCTGTGATGGAGAAACAGGTTTACCTTTTAGGTAACATGAATGAGTTGAAGGGAAGTTATGAACTGTTTCTGAGAGACAAATAACCCCAGGATCATTTTTTAGGTAGCTGACAGCTGGTGACTGTGCAGGGGCGGGTCTAGCAAAGTTTTGCCAGGGGGGCCAGGTAGGGCATTAACAGGGAGAGGGGGGCACAAAGAAATACTTTTCTTTCTTATTCTCATTTAAAATATCTAGCTTTTAAAAAATAATTATCTGAATCTTACAACAAATGATTGATAGATTGATGCATATATACCATCAAAACAGTGAACATCACTGTCACAACAGTGTTTATTTTCATTCAAAGGCTTTATGATTTTTCCTATAATGGTGGGCCGGTCTCTAGTCAAAATGCCCGGGACGATTTTCTGTCCCAGTCCAGCCATGTATGCAGCTCATCTGCAGTCTGGTGTTACCTACATCTTCCTATTCAGAAGGCAGAATTTCCGAGTTCTGACTACAATCGAAAGCACCACGACTGCAGTTTTTGTGTTGGATGTAAAAGGCGCACATGACGCTGTGACGTAGGCTAGAATCATGGCAGCAGTCAATGACGGTCCAGGTGTGGGATTTCTCTCATGGAAATGTGCACATTATCTTTTCCTTTCTATTGGTAGGTGGCACAGTGCACTTGTGGCAAGTAAGCAAGCTAGAAGACTGGCAAAGTTATGGAAGCAACACATTAACAAGAGAATTCTGAGTAAAACCAAAGTTACTTTCCCTAGTAACTAGTTACTTTGAAAGTAACGAGTAACTTGAAGTAACTGAGTTACTTTCGAGAGAAGTAACTAGTAATGTAACTAAGTTACTATTTTAAAGTAACTTATCCAACACTGCTTTTGAAGCTGTCTTGTACACATAGCAGAAACACAGCCCCAATGCATATTGTTTCTGCCTCTGTGGGGATGCCGTTCTTTGGGTCCTACTCAACATTTCTCTTATACCAAACATGGTTGGTCATGTTGACACCAAAGACCTTGATTTTGGTTTCACCTGAAACAGGACTTTTACTTGAGCCTTCTTGGAATCATTGAGATGCTCAATGACAAACTTAAGATGGGCCATTAAACCCTTCCATTCACTTCCACTTGTCCCATTCAGGGCCATGGGAAAGCTGGAGCCTATCCCAGCTGTCGTGGGTGAGAGGTGGGGTACACCCTAGGAAGTTTTCCAGTCTAATCGCAAAGCTAACACAAAGAGACAGACTACTATGAGCAATTTACAATCACCAATTAACCTAACTCCACTAACTGCATGTCTTTGGACTGTTAGAGGAAGCCAGAGTACTGGGAGAAAACTCGACAAGGGGAAAATTCAGTTTCGAATGGCCCTTAGCAATGGGTCAGACACTCCATGCTCCCGAAGCCCAACAGGAGTTCTTCTTCAGTCTGATGGTTTCCTTCATCTCTGGTGTGTGTAGGTGTGTCCTACTCTATGTGCTAGAAATTTTATGTTCCAGGAAGTGTGAGTTTAACCACATTTCCATGTAGCACATCCAACTATACTCATATCCATTCTGGGTCTTAAATAAGGCTCCAGGCTTGTTCTTGAAAGCTTGCATTTTTCCCCTCTCAATTAAATTAGTCTCTGCAGCCTTTCCATGCTTTGTGATTGGCTCCAACAGCGAACTACAGACTGATCATGACCGTGATATATATTTGTCAGTGCTAGTATCAAATTTTAGCACTTCTTGCTTTACTGTGCTTTGTTTTGATCAGAATAATTGTTCCGTGGTTTTCACAGTGTGGAGGAGCAGATGTCCTGCTGTACTTCCTATCAGGATTTTAAAAAGGATCTGGTCTCTACCAGCTGTGGATGCAGACAGTCCATCACCTTGCACCAGTCTGCTTCATTAGAAGGCTCTTCAAGCATTCAGAGAAACTATGAAAGTAAGCTCTGTCTGATTATTTCATTTCTGAAAGCTGGACTTCTTGTGTTGTTCAGGTATTAAAAGCTAAAATAAAATCTGGTGTCTTGCCAAATGAGCAAAGGACAAAGCACAAAATATACCCAAAGGGCCTTTATTCTTAACAAATTGAATTCTAAAAAAAAGAACAACAATTCAAGTGCATCAGCAACTATAGTGGCTTGTCTTCTTCTAGTGCATTGCATAAAGCTCACTCACAAATGCACAGCTGAAATGGTCCAAATCCATAAATGGTAAGGAAAACCAATAGACTTTATCCGTTAGGCCTGCAAAGTCATTCAGCATTCAACTACACCAACCAGCCTAGAGGGACTGGTTTGGTCCAAAAATCTGAGGCGTAGCCCTCCCCCTTGGTCTGGTTGAGAAGAAACTTCCTTTTCCCTGTCTCCCCCCGTCCATTTTTCTATAACATCCAGTTATAATATATATTTTGCTTTATGTTCATTGATTTTCATTCTTTTAGCAGATAGTCGTCTGCTGCAGAAGTTGTTAGACAAACATAAGGCTAATCTGGAGAGGAGATGTAAATGTTTGACTGAAGAAACAGGAAGTGGAACCCTATTTAACAGGATCTTCACTGAGCTCTACATCACAGAAGGACAGAGTGAAGAGGTTCATACCCAACATGAGGTGTGGCAGCTGGAGACAGTTTCCATGAACAAGGCCCTCCATGACACTCCAGTCAGCTGTCATGACATTTTTAAAGCCTTGCCTGACCAACAGAGATGCATCAGAGTGGTTCTGACGAATGGCATTGCCGGCATTGGAAAAACTTTCTCAGTGCAGAAGTTCACTCTGGACTGGGCAGAAGGTTTGGAGAACCAACGTGTCAGTGTGGTGATTCTGCTTTCATTCAGGGAGCTAAACCTGATCAGAGATGATCGGTACAGTCTTCTGGACCTGCTCCATGTTTTCCATCCAACATTACAGAAGGTCACAGCAGAGCAGCTCACTGTCTGCAAACCTTTGTTCATCTTTGATGGCCTGGATGAAAGCAGACTTTCATTGGATTTCACTAAAGGGAAGCTTGTGTCTGATGTCACACAGAAGTCATCAGTCAGTGAACTGCTGACAAACCTCATCAAAGGGAATCTGCTTCCCTCAGCTCTCATCTGGATAACTTCCCGACCTGCAGCAGCCAATCAGATCCCTCCGATATGTGTTGACAGGGTGACAGAAGTACGAGGCTTCACTGACGCCCAGAAGGAGGAGTACTTCAGGAGGAGATTCAGTGATGAAGAGGTGTCCAGCAAATTCATTTCCCACATGAAGACATCCAGGAGCCTTCACGTCATGTGTAGAATCCCAGTCTTCTGCTGGATCACTGCTACAGTCCTAGAGCACATGTTGACTACAGAGCAGAGAGGAGAGCTGCCCAAGACACTGACTGACATGTACTCACACTTCTTGCTCGTTCAGACAAAGAGACAGCACAAGTACCATGAGGGATATGAGACGAGTCCACAAGAGCTGACAGAGGCTGACAGTGAAGTTCTTCTGAAGCTGGGGAGGCTGGCCTTTGAAAATCTTGAGAAAGGAAACATAATGTTCTACCAAGAAGACCTGGAGCAGTGTGGTCTGGATGTCACAGAGGCCTCAGTGTACTCAGGAGTTTGTACAGAGATCTTCAAACGAGACTGTGTGATATTCCAGAAATCAGTCTATTGCTTTGTTCATCTGAGTATTCAGGAGTTTTTGGCTGCAGTCTACATGTTTCACTGTCATACTAACAGAAAAACAGAAGTGCTGAAGCATTTTCTAGGGAATGGTGAACATGTTTATTGTGGTGACATCTCGTCTTTAGATGTCTTTCTGAGCAGAGTCATGCAGAAATCCCTCCAAATTAAAAATGGACACCTGGACCTGTTGGTCCGATTCCTTTATGGTCTCTCTCTGGAGTCCAACCAGAGACTCTTACGAGGTCTGCTAGGCGAGACAGAGAGCACTCCAGAAATTATACAGCGAATCATCAGCAACCTTTGCAAGATAACCAATGAGAATACCTCTCCTGACAGATGCATCAACATCTTCCATTGTCTGATGGAAATGAATGAACTCACGGTACATCAGGAGATCTTGGAGTTTCTGAAGTGCAAAAACGGATCAGAGAAGGAGCTCTCTGAGATCCACTGCTCAGCTCTGGCCTACATGCTGCAGATGTCAGAGGTTTTGGATGAGTTTGTTCTGAAGAAGTATAACACATCGGATGAGGGACGAAGGAGACTGATTCCTGCTGTGAGGAACTGTAGAAAGGCTCAGTGAGTAAATATCTGATTAACATTGTAAATCAATGTAAATTTGTAGCTAAGGTGTTCAAAAGTTCTTACTATAATGCTCACATTGTTCTTTCTTATAATTCCATTTTTTCTATTGCAAACAATACACTGGTTAGATTTTCACAGATGCTGTTGAGCTGCTCTGAAAATGTTGTTTGTTTTTTAAGTAAGAATTACTGTAACAATGCATTGTAACGACACATTACTGTTTGCTTACAAACTTTAACTAATTACGACCACAGTAAATAGACTAAATGTGAAATTGCACTAAAATCTTCAGGTCTGAGAGAGACTGAGGAGAATTATTGTTTCATGTTACACATGTTAACACAAATCTCTATCCCAGGGGTAGGGAACATTAGTCCTCGAGAGCCGGTGTCCTGCAGGTTTTAGATCTCACCTTGGGTCACCACACCTGAATCAAATGATTAGTTCATTACCAGGCCTCTGGAGAACTGCAAGGCATGTTGAGGAGCTAATTTAGCCATTTAAATCAGCTGTGTTGGATCAAGGACACATCTAAAACCTACAGGACACCGGCACTCGAGGCCTGGAGTTCCCTACCCCTGCTCGATCCTAATGAGGACACAGTTAACAACTTTATTTAATGTCTGTGTTTTTGTTGTTAATGTTTAAGCATAGCATCAAAAACAAAAAACAAAGATGAAATCTTGTGCAAAGAGACTTAAAATAGGCATATTGATTGTACCTAGAAATTGAGGTTACAGTGCTACAAGCCTAACTGCTCATCAATATTGATTGATTGATTGATTGACGCAGCACGGTGGCACGGTGGTTAGCATTGTTGCCGCACAGCAAGAAGGTCCTGAGTTCAATTCCAACACCAGGCCGGGGTCTTTCTGTGTGGAGTTTGCATGTTCTCCCCGTGTTTGCGTGGGTTCCCTCCGGGTACTCCGGCTTCCTCCCACTGTCCAAAGACATGCAGCTTGTGGGGATAGGTTAATTGGATAATCCAAATTGTCACTAGGTGTGAATGTGCGAATGAATGTGAGTGCGAATGGTTGTCTGTCCCTTCTGTCCCTGTGTGTTGGCCCTGCGACAGACTGGCGACCTGTCCAGGGTGTACCCTGCCTCTTGCCCTATGACAGCTGGGATAGGCTCCAGAGCCCCCCGCGACCCTGAAAAAGGATAAGCGGAAGCGAATGGATGGATGGATGGATTGATTGATCATACTTTATTCATCCCGAGGGAAATTGGGTTAAGGCTGCCAGCTGTGGCAGCGTCATCTTACCCTTCCAACCATACATACATTACACAAACATCACATGGGGAAGACAGGTCAGAGGGGTATAACATGGAAAAAGCACAACATGAGGAAAGATAAGGAGAAAAAAATAACTCCCCCAGACTGAGCTGCAATAGGGAGATCAGTTTGAGAACAGAAAAAAACACCTCTCCACATAGCATGAAAAAACTCTTAATACACCAAAGAAACACATGACAAGCAACAGGGGTGGGTAAAGGGTGAGAGACAGCCAATGTAGACAGTACATCCGGGCCTGCAGCCTATGCGCTGTTCTCCTTGATCCACTGTCAGCATCGGAGGGGAATAAGTGTCGAAGGCGTTTGGAGCGGGAGGGGGGTGAGTGTACTGTACATCTGTATGTGTATATATATATATATGTGTGTGTGTGTGTGTGTGTGTCCAGAGTTCAGCTGAGACAGTGTCCTTCGCCCTGCCAGGCTAAGTAAACAGTCTTCCAGCTAGGGCTGGGCGATATATCGAGTTTTTTAAAAATATTGATATATTTTTATACGAGATATAAGATGTGACAAAATCCTTTATATCGATATAGTCTATGTTACGTTATAATTATACTTGTGTTTGCCTCTCTTTCGTCCACTTTTGTCTCTATGCAACGTTACTCCGCCTCGCCTCTCTCCTTCACTGAACACAACTCCCCCTCCTCCCCCATTGCTTCACCTACAGGCAGCGACAAGATGGACACGGCAAATCTCCTTTAACGAGTTACTGCGCATCGCCCCGTCGGTGGGGCTGGACGGCGTTAACGTGTTAACGAGCTAACCACGCTAACGCCGTGCAGCCCCTCCTAAAATCCTTTCATTCTCTCAAAAGTTGACAGCGTGCCTTATGTATGAATTCTGGTTGTGCTTGATGACCGCAAACCGATTTGAAGTGGTACAAGGTGTGCAGAAATCTGTCAAAAAATGTTTTAGTACAACTTTGGTAAGCTACGGAGCTGCACCACTTGATGGATTGTCGGAGCATTACGGCTACAGAGGAACCTCGGGGAGTGATACGTACTGTGCTTCAACGTAATATTACCATATTGTGTGTGTAAATGGCACCTATTCAGAGACATGGTTACAAAGCGGATTTCAAACTCCAGGCTGTCAGTCACGCAGGAGAAGTTGGGAACAGAGCAGCTGAGAAATCTGGCTTTGTTATTATGCTCAGCGTCTTTTAGTTTACATTTTGACTGCACAATTGTGAGCTCTTTGTTATGCATAAAAACAACATTGTTTTATTTTATTTATGGAGCATTATTATTTAATAAATGCTCATAATTTATTTTTGAGTAATTTTTTCATGTACATCTATGCTGTATGTTAATAAAAGTGCCTGTGTGACATCTGGGACACCGCTTTGACTAAGAACTCTCTTTTTGTTCTTACTTTATGGCTTTAAAAAAAATATCGAGATATATATCTTATATCGCCATCCAGCTAAAAAATATCGAGATATGAATTTTGGGTCATATCGCCCAGCCCTACTTCCAGCCAACCCAGGTGGCCTTGCATAGAATGTGAAGAACAGTCTAAACACAGTCGTTATCAGGGTGTTTTTGTTCAGCTCCAGCCTTGAGACCGCAGCTGGCGCCAAAGGGGTATCCGCATGAAGTGATGGTGTTTTTTTTTCTTTAGTGCGAACAACTCATATGAATTTCAAAGCTGTTCTAACAGTCCAACACTGGTCTCTCAATCTCCCGTTGGAGAGCCGTGAGCTTCTCCATGATGTTATCAAACTTACGTTCCGTGGTCTCGTCATTCTTGTGCTCAAAGAGCCGATTCTGAGAACTCACGAACGCAGTGAGCTTCTCCAAGATGTGATCCAATTTGCGCTCAGAGGTGTTATTCCGATTTTATTGGTACTACTTGAACTCCGCCTCTGGCTGCACATCGTATACTTCACTAGGTTTGTGTAAGCATTCTGTCTGCAGATGTTTGGAAAGAGCTGATATTAATTTGTCTCTGTCTGGATTCAGTTTGCACCATTGTGCTCTTTTTCTTTTGTTCAATAACATCTTACTTTGGAACATGCCACACAAAACACTAGTTCTTTATAATAACTTGTTCTGTAATATGTGTCATCACAGACTTTCTGGCTGTAAACTGTCAGAGACTCACTATGCAATCGTGGCCTCAGCTCTCATGTCCAACCCCTCCCACCTGACAGAGCTGAACCTGAATGGAAACAACCTGCAGGGTTTAGAATCAAAAAACCTTTTTGCTGCTCTGGAGAGTCCAAACTGCAGACTGGAGACTCTGAGGTTAGTTCGCTGATTACTATTTCTGAAGATATTTCAATAAATTGAACTGTAAAGCTTTCCCCTTATAACCTGACTCTAGAGCTGTCAGATGGAGTGACCCATCTTTTTCCAGTTCCTTTACGGTATGTTGGTTTTGGGTATCCAGGACTCGAATTTCGGCACCAGATTGTGCACATAGTTTAATAGGTTAAATCCTACACTCTACATTACCTGATGCAATGCCATGTGTCAGGTTGTCTTGCCTTTAGTTTCTTCATGTGGTGTTCTGCACTAACAGCTCCCATACAGACCTCCATACTCAGAGACTGAGAAAGTATATATACAAGGGGAAGATTAGGGAGTGGAGACAGCTGGGAAACATGGTGGAACAAATTAGACATAAGAGGAAAGGGAAGCAAACCGAACGTTATACACAAGAGACAAGGACTATCAAAAGGAAAGAGGAAACCTGACAGACACAGTACTCAAAACTTAAAACAATGATATTTTGTTTTGTGATTTTATTTGCTGGGGTGCTGGAATTTATTTTACATTTTTTTAATTTAATACTCAAATGTTTTTTAAATGTATCCATCACAAATTTCTGAAATTAATTTTTATGCCAAGACCAGTTAAATATTCAACTCAGTCAATAGTTTTAAAGATATACATGTTTAATCATTAACTCAAATTTTAGAGTGCAAAATAAAGGCCAGAAAGTAAATTGACAGACCAACCAAAATATATTTTGAAAGGTATTCTGTATGTATGAGTATGCACCAGGAGGGGAATAGATAAGAACTAAAACTGGCTTCATAAACATGGTTGATAAATAATCTGGATTGAAAAATTGCAGCCACTCCTCCTCAACCTGTGCTTTTTTATTCTAGGGTCTACCTTAGAATATAAATTGCCTTGAGGTGACTGTTTTTGTGGTTTGGCTCTGTATAAATAAAATCTAATTGAACTGGACTAAATTTGAGGATTCTGAAAGTTAGTTGAACTCAGTATACTGATTTATACAAACTAAATTTTCATCATACCATAACCAGGTTTCTGTAAGGCAGAAAAAATCAATATGTTGAACAATTATTAAATCATTTACTCACAGTAACTTAGAGAGATCTAATGTTTAATAGTCCACATTTAATTGTTTTAGTTTTTGAAGCAGTTTAGGGTGTTATATTATTATTTTTTAATATGCTCATTTTTGGTTTGTTTGATGATGATCTGAGAGCAGACACAGTCTCTGTGGGGATAAAATAAAGAGGGAAACTTCAGAGAGGTGTGTGAGACTGCAACTCTCTTTCCTGGTACCAAATCAGGATGATCACTTTGTTATTAATTTGACCAAATGATGAAATGATGTGATAGAAATGATGTCATTTATATCTAAAGTAGGATGAATGCCAGCTTTCCCCACAAGACCGGTTTTTCCACAGAAAGCTTCACAATTCTCTATGAAACCCATGTC